GGCACCCCACGTTGTGGAGACAGCTGCATCAGTCTGCCGCTCAGGGACCTGGAAACCTTCACAGAAAGGCCAAGAAAGCCCTTCCAGAATGTTCTCTGCACTCATGCTTCAGAACCCACTTCCCAAATCAAAGAACTGTATCTGGTCAGCCCCAGCTCAGGGCGAAACTCGGGCAGAAATGTTGACTTCACCTTCTCGGTACCAACCTTTGATATTTACAACGGCATTCTTTCCTTCCTAAGTCACAGGAGTGAACGTAATATGGTATTCGGGAATGAGTGAACTCACGCTGCTAATTAAATCACAGAAACTTTGCCAAAACAGACTGGCCCTGAGCGGTGACCGTGAGTGACCATCAATTTCGATTTCAGTCTCTCCTCACTGAAGAACTAATGGCACGGGAGCAGATTAAGTGCATAAATGACACGCCACCTGCATGCTAACCTTACGTGTAGCTGTCACTGCTGAACTGTAGGTACTCTGCCATCGCACGTACAGCCCCAATTCTGCTGATTAGAGTGGTCTGGGGTGCCAATTGCATGCCCTGAGCAAGCCTGTTCAGTTTTGCAGGGATTGATCCGTCTACACCACACTGTACCAGGCTGCAGGAGTTTTCAAGTTGGATCTCGACTTTTTGCATGTTAGGAAGCTATTAAAGCCGCGAGGAAGATAAAAAGCCCATCCAAATCTACCGACAGTATATACCGATTCCATTAAGTGCATCATATTCTTTGGGTCAGAAATGCCTTTGAACTGACAGACATGCAGCTTCTAATCAACAGTGATGCACACGGGAACACACACCTACCCACACATATCTTCACACACACGGTTCCAACGGAGCGTGCCTCGGCTGCTATAGAACTTGGCACAGGCACCCTTCACCGACGGGTGTCACCACTACCGAGCCCTCGGCTTCGCGGGTCCGTCTCTACGGCACGTCACTCAGCTCATCCATCAAAACGTCAGCCCCTCATCATCTGTCGATCCACACTGTGTGATCTTTCCAGTCTCTGGAGAAGAGCCGGGTTATTCCTTCACTTTAAATGTCTATGCAATTTAAATGTTGGCATTTCTAGGACATCCCAAATAAACACATGAATAAAACTCCATTTGGTAACTTCTGACTCTATTTGGTAACTCAATAACGGAGGAGAAAACAGAATGCAACAGTCAGTCAATCAAGCTAAAAGAAAACAAATAACAGCTATGAGGAAATATACACACACACACATACACACAGTATTCATAGAGCGACTGATATACTAGCACATGAGCCTGAAACACAATCAATACAAACAGATTCAACTCCACCGAGAAAAGGCCAACACAAGATATTTCAAAGGGAAAAAGACAGAACACCAAATACCACTGTTTATTAAACCAAAGACGCAAGACCAAATCTATACTAGATAAACTAGTTAAATAATAGAAACTCATAAACAGTAGCACAAGAGGTTGTTCTTAGGATAAAAGTCATCCCTACTGCAGAATCCGGCAAGTTCTCAGGAGCTAAAACAATGTGAAATCAGTGAGTGTTGAAATCAGCGACATCAATAAACCAATGAAGATTGGACTGAGAAAGAGCAGAAATGAACAGATCCACCAACATCCTGGAGAATTCACTCCTTCCAAATTGACAGAATGCTCTATGATTGGCACCTAGACCCCAAATAATAGGCTCACAAAATATTTTATGAGGCCAGTCAAGACGTTCTATGTGACAAACATAACAATCAATCAGAGAGCGTGCGTTCATCAAGCGTTCCAGAGAAACTTTCTAAAGCTTGGTCACACAAATTTGTCTCATCAAATTAAAAAGGATCGGCCATTTTCTAACTGATACAAAAATCAAGAGGAAAACATCGCAGGAAAAGTTTAACTGATCCCTTAGATTTCAACATTCAACAAAGATACACACTTCTTAGATCCTTACGTATCAAAAGAAAAATCATAATGTAAATATAATGGTGTTTAGAAGAGTCAGGTATTAAAATATCACTTGTTTAAATGGGCATTTTAAGGACACTGATACCCCTAGTTGTTCTGCATAGATTTTGGTTGGGTCCAAAGTGAAGCAAAGAAAGATATGTTTTTTATTTTCTTATATTTATTTATTTATTGTGTGTGTGTGTGTGTGTGTTTACTCTGGAGTGCGGGCAAATGGTCACAGGTTGCAGGGAGCCAAACCTGGCCAGGACTTGGCTACTATGAGGAGCTTAGAGGTTCAGTCTGTCCCATGAGGTGACTGTACTATTCTCTCCTTGACATTCTTAACCCAGAATCCAGCTCACCATCTTCTATACCAACACCACATACAGAGATAAGCACTTCTGCTATATAATTTTTATGCTTTCAATTTGTTTTATACATTTACAGGTAAAAATGAATGCTTCTGTTCCCCCTAATTAATATGATACATGGTGTATCTTTCACTTCACACTGCTTCTTAAAAATTCTCCTTATCGTTACAACACGGCAGCCTTCCCACCATCGGGCGCACAGTATTTTATTGAATCCTTACTCCGCTGGAAAAGATGCAGGCTGTTTGCAATCCCTGGCTATTAACAGGGCCATTGGGAATAAAATTGAGCTTACCCATATGACACAAGTGCATGTGTGTCTACAGGAGAAACTCCCCAAATTAGACTAGCTGGGGCAAGGCTCACTATCAAATAATCAATGTTTTAAATCACTAGAAACAGCCAAACCCTTCTCCTTGTGGGTAGTACTAAATTGGGTTTGCACAAAATGGTGCAATAGTCCTTTGCAGATTTTAACGATTCACCACCTGGGCAAGGCTGTTGTTGCCTGCAGTATGCTTCTTACCTAGTCACGGGCTACTCTAGGAATTGATTTTGGTGTTCCCTGAGACGGTGATTCTTTCCAGGACAGCTCCTCCTGGGTTGACCTGGGAGACTAGGCACAGGCCCCTACAGGGACCATGATGTAGGTGTCTGGGGGCGCCATATTTGTCTTTGTCGCCTGGACTAATACCATGCCTAGCCCTCAGGAGGCTACCAGACTCTTCTGTTACCTGAATGGCTAAATGTTGGACTAGTTCTCTATGGATTATACCATTTCCAAAATAATTTTAAAATGCAAACTATATTGAAAGACAGAAGTAAACAGCGTGCATTCTTACAAAAAGCCCAACAGAGACAAATTCAGAGACTGTGACAAGAATGTAATTAAGAACGACTCAAGAAGAACCATTTTCAAATTATGGGGCAATAGGATTGGAGCTAATTTCCTTTAGGGGGTTTAATGCCTATAAAAGTTTTTCTAAAATCAAATGTGCTTTTATAGTCATTTTGTAGAAAAAAACTTATAAAGTGGATCCATCAACCAAGGAAATTATACCATCTCTCTCTATATACAGTATAAACTTTTTCCAGCTATATCAAAGGTGCGATTTTTAACCACATTTTAAAGAAATTGAATAGAGCTTGTCTGTTTAAGGACATTTCAAAGAGTTTCTCCTAAATTGAGACATTGCTTTCGTGATAAATCCATTTATAGCAATTTTGTTTTTAGTAAAGAATAACATGGGTGGTGTAAGATATTCAAAATTTATTTAATAAAAATCTTGGGCTCTGTCAAGCTAGAGGATTAGGAAATAATTTTCCTTTATGAATAAGTAATAAGCCTTAAAATGTTTCTTATTTACTTTAAGATGTGGGTGAAAATAGAAAATAGTTTTTATTCACCGCATATCACACATGCACAAATGTGACGTCTCCAATGAGCCACTGCATTTACTTAGTATGGCCAGGGCAATAGTATATATGACATTCCCCAGTGCTTATGAGAGCCATCCAAATCCACCTAGCGTTACACAAGCATTACGGTATGCAATCAAGGTTTTAAAATACACAGTGAAACGTGAGGAAAGATTTTGCTCCTTGGGCATTAGGTACGGCATCTAAAGTGAATGATCACATTTTATTCAAGTGAGCATGTCTCTCCCTGAACTAATATTATCCCAAGCATCTCTTTCTATTTACAAATAACAGCCTTTCAAATGCACATAATGAACATTCAGTCTTTCAACCTGTACCAGAAAAATACGCGATTTTAAGAGAGTCTTCATACACGTGTGCATCCACCCTCTCAGAGAAACTTACGGAAAGAAAGCCCGGTTGGTCTGAAATGAGGAAGCAGGCTTTTAGCCTAGGGGTCAGAAACCCGTCTCAATGACCAAATCCAGCTGCTTTCTACTGGTAAATAAAAGTCTGGCTGGAAACACCGCCACACGAGTCACTGGGGTGTCGTCCCAGGCCACCTTCAGGCCGACACAGCGTGGCTGAGCGGTGGCTGGAGAGCATCCTGCCTCATAACCCGTCACAGTCACCATGTGGCCTTCACAGAGCAGGCTGCTGACCTCTAGCTCAGAGCCGGGAATCTCCAACTGGACCATGCCTCCGAACCCTTGGCGACCATGAATGCTAGACCCCACCAGCAGATCCAGCACGGCCTCGAGGGGGCTAAGAATCTGCAGAGGGTGCTGACGGCATTTGCCCAAGGGCCCCACGTTGAGAACCCCTAGTCCAGGCTGTGAGAGGTTTGGTGTAGGTAGGAGCAATATTCACCTCCTCTATGTCTACTTCCTCCGTCAAAGTCACAGTGACAAGACTGGCTGCTGCACGGCTGCATCCGCGATGTCCATTGTCCCTTGGAACCTGTCCAGCATTACCCACGGCTCTGCACATTCTCATTCCCCAACTCTCGGCTTTACCATGGAGGGGTAGATGTCCCATCCAAGGCCAAAGGGCTTGTCCTGAACAGACTGGGGGTTGGTTCAGTGACGGTGGACAGTGGACAGCCTAGATTTTTACAGTAACTACGGGAGTCTCCAGATCACGGGATGTCTCTCCAGAAATTCTACAACCACAGTGAGACCCTGTCTCTAAATAAAATACAAAAGATGGCTGGGGATAGGGCTCAGTGGTTGAGTGCCCCTGAGTTCCATCCCTGGTACCAAAAAACAAAGATCTTACCTTGAACGTCACACCGAGTCCAAAAATGCACGCTCATGTTGAGTTCCAGAGCCAATACAGATTACTTATGGCGGCACCCTTCAAAATATGCACATGTCTGTCCCTTAGAAGAGAAGCATATTTGGTTGATATCTATAAACAGAAGAATAGAAAGGGGGAAAAACACAGAAGGTTGAGGTCAAGGTCACAGTTAACTAAAAGAAATGATCGTGAATATAATCAAAGGTCAAGACTGTCTGCTCAGGTATGAATGTTGAAGCCATCACTTGACAAAGCGTTCAGATTTTAGCACATTTCAAATGCAAAATGGCACCACTCAAGTTACAAGACAAAGAACCACAATTCCATGATGATACTTTTGCTGTAGCAGCTCCACCTTGTCTGGGGAACACATGTCTCCTCCTGGTGGCTGCCCGGCATCCTCCATGCTGAGGAAATGGGTGCAGGTAAAAGAGAAACCCTGAATCACGGGGGGCCACATGGCAAAACCACGCATGCAAGGCACAGGGGGTGCATTCAGGCTGCGTCCAAATGCAACCCTGCAGTTCTCAGATGCTCCCTGCACACGCCACGCGCCCGCTGCCAAACAGCCCTCCACACCCAACACACAGGTGCTCACATGTGACGACCACTGCTCACGTCACTTGTCAAATCGACCCAAACCGCATGCAAAGTCACACATGCTGCCTCGGCATCACAGGTACATCTGTACCTGGATACGGTGCTATGTGCTCTTTCCCATCCTTCCTGCCTCCGGTCGGTCTTGTCCTTCCCAGAACCCAGACTCAGGGCTCATGGTTCTGAGCCCTCTTCGGGGTGGCCCCCACCTCCACAGCTGCAGACTCCGTCCCTCGCTGGCCCGGCCATCCTCTGGGAAGCTTCCTCACAGGGGGCTGAACATCAGGTCTTCCCGTCTCCGCCATTACCTCCGTTCTCTCCGGGTTTGGCCCTCGGGCGACATCCTCAGAGTCCACCCGGAGCCCCTTTGGGTTCACCTGCACATCCTCCATGTCCAGATGTCTCCGAGGACCATGGCCCAGTGTTCACAGGGCGGGCGGCCTCCCACCCAGACCCCACAGCGGGTGGATCCACGTGGTCCCCACTGCGCGCGGGTGGGAGATCTGTTAGACTGCCTGGTTATCAGAGCCCCTGGGCAAATATTCCATCTGCGTATTGCAGCTGAGAAAACTGAGCCTCAGAGAAACTCAGCGGCTGCCTGAGGCCACGCGGAGGGTTCTAACCAAGAGTCCAGCCCCAAGCCCTACGGTAAGCCCATCTCTTTTGCTGCATCTCCAGAGAGTGCCAGGCCTCTCCTCTGGTCACTCCCTGAGTGCAGGGCCCCTGCTGGCCAGTGCAATGGCCAATACATCCAATCTAACGAGCACAGAGAGGAAAATACAAAACAAGGACAGACGAAATCTGGTATTGGAGACTTTCTTGGAGACTTACTATTTCTTGCATTTCCTGTATTCTTCTGAGTCTCTGGACAGCGGCCAGTTTTTCATGCTCAAACCCTACAATCCCGTGGCTCTGCCCTCTTCCTCAGCCAACTTATGCATTTTACTGAAGAGAGAGAAAATAGAAGAACTTTGACTGACGGGAACTTTCTTGGACAAACCTGTGCTTGGGTCTGTAAGAAGGGCTCACTTTTCTCCGTTACGTCCCTATTGCAACTTCAAAAAGTCCCTGTTGCCTCCGTGCTGTGCTCTGGGTCCCCCTGACACCTGTCTCAGGAGGACATTCACTACATCTGCTCTCTGCTCTCCTTCTAGACTTCTGCCCTCCCCTGCAATGCTTCCTGTGCATCTGCCCCTACATGTTACACTGATCACTAATAAAGGAATTGATGACGACACATCATCGTGGACTGAGCCCATCCTTCATCCGGACTGATTTTTTTCCCTAACATCCACTTACTACCCCGTGGTCCCCACTCATGACAACACGTGACATTTAATGCCCACGTTTTCCTAGTTGCATTTAGACTCGTTTTTCGATGATCTGAGTAATAGGGGTCAGTAGAAAATTCTTTTTTTTTTTTTTTGTTTCTTTTCACCTTCATGAGATATATTTTCTAGTTAGATATTTAACATAAATTAACTTAAATTCTGTTTGTTTGGATTTGCCCAACATCTTTTCTTATGACTCGGGATATGGGCATCTGCAGAGATGACAGAAGTAAATGTGTGAAGTTGTTATGGTTTAGACATGAGGTGTTTCCAAAAAAATTCATACGTGAGACAATGCAGGAATGTTCAGAGGTAAAATGATCCGGTTATGAGAGCTGTAGGTTTACTTAGTGGATTAATCCACTTGGATGGACTCACTGGGTGGTGACTGCAGCAGGTGGGGTGTGGCTGGAGGAGGGGGTCCCTGGGCTGTGCCTTTGGGGTCTCTCTCCTGTCCCTGGTGAGCAGAGCTCTCTCTGCTCCCTGGTGCCCTGTCCTGAGCTGCTCTCCTCCTCCGGGCCCTGCCGCCATCTTGTTCTGCTCCCCTTGGGCCAGAGCCATGGAGTCGACCACCAGGGACTGAACCTCGGGCACCAGGAGCCCCAGATCAACTTCTCCTCCTCTAAAATTTCTCATCAGGTTTTTTGGTCACATTGGTGAAGAAGCTGAGGAAACAGACACCTTTGTCATCATGCCACAGCAAGGGTACAAACTGTCGACATGACGCAACACTGCATATATTTGACCCTTGACAAAGTACTTGCAGGTTTTTCTACTAAAATATTACTGTTTTTTTTTTCCTGAAGAACATTTTTTTAGCAGTAATAAATTAAAAAATAGCATTTTAGATTGTCTAGGTAATCTGTGAATTTTTTTTTTTTACACCTGCATACGTGCTGTTCAAGTTCTCTCTTCTGGATATGAGGGAGGACGCTTTGAATTTACTGAGGACTGTAAGTCACTCTTCTAACACTGAGATACTGTGCAAAATCGTGAGGGTAAGACATGAAGGAATCCAAGAATTCCAAAGGAGTAGAGACTAGAAGTGGCCACGAGAAGACGGCACATGGGACTGCACAGGAATCACGGGTTCAGTCTGGAACACTGGATGTAATGCGACAGAGAGCACCAGGCTTGACCAAGCACCAGGTTTCCAAGAGTCAGGACAGTGCAGGGTCCAACAGGATGTCCATCTGTTTGCCAAAATTCAGGTCCATATGAATAAAAAAAAAAAATCTCCAAAGAGAGCAGACATGGGGAGAACAGATACTGGTCAAAGTTGGGCAGGTCTTTAAACACCGGATGTCAAGCTATATATTGTTTGTTCAAATAATAAAACAGCATCTACTCTAAAGCTACAGGTAGCCTCAGCTCTGTTTAGTAATCTGCAGTATCCCACCGGGCTCCTCCACCAACTGCACATGGCAAACCCGTCAGCCACGCAGGGCCGTGAGAGAGAACGTCACACCAGGAATTCCCAGATGCGGGATGATTCTGAGATGCGGTTCACTGCCCTTGGGCAGGTCTCAGACACCCAGGTAAAAGAGCCACCAGCCTTTGTAGGAGAGGCAGGAATAAACACAGGGCTCTGGATAATGTGTCGTACCCGTTAAAACACTTTTTGCCTCTCTTGAAGTCTCCCTTATTCTTGAATCCAATTATCAACGACGAACTCAGTTATGAAGAGAAAAACGAAATTAGAAAAAATGAGTTCTAATTAAACAAACATCAAAATCCCATTTCCGCTATGCATTCAGGGGAGAACACAGACCCGCACCCTTTTTTAACGTTTTCATTTTCTAAGACTTCGTTCTGATAATGAACTTCCAAATAAAATAGCTAGCCCAGGGGAGGCCGAGGTTGAGGGACTACATTAAATAATTCTGGTTAATGAGGCACTGGAAGGATGAGCCGCCACCAAGGGGTGGGTGGGTCGTGAGTGGGGAAGCGCTGATCATTTCTCAGGGTCCTAAACACCGGGCAGGGTGCTCAGGAATAAATAGTCTCCGCTCTGAGTAAACAACAGGGGCACCGCCTAAGGATTCAGCATGGCTCATTGAGAAAATGGAGAGACAGACACCCTGTGCTCGGGAGATCCTTGGGTTTTGATGACAACTCGGAAGGTTTTTGCAGAAATAAACAGGAAAGCAATAAGTCAACAAGGACGATTTCAACATGCAAATCTCCAGTGGGAAAGATGCCCTCGTAGGTGACTTCAGAAACACGGAGACGCATAGGCGTCTTTTAACTTCTACGTTTTGTCTTATTTCGACATCGAGTTGCATGTCATTATCCCTGAAAACATCCTCGAGGGGCTCTCTCTACGTCAAGACAATTTACTTGGAAGGTGCTAGATATTTGCTTTTTAATTGAACTTAGCGGAGAGTTTGAATCTATCGCCTGAAGACAGCATTAATAGTACAGAAAGATCAACGGTGTTCTCCATTCCATCTAAATAAACAGCTCTCTAGCAGCAGGGTGCAGGGGTGCCGAACCCCACCCCACCATGCCCACCGCATTAGCTTCTTGTTGCTGCTATAACAAAGTACTATAAAATATAGGGCTTAAAGCAGTAAAAGTTCATTATCTCACCCTTGCAGGGTTGTAAACTAAGACTCAAAAAAGACTTTCCTTGTTACGATTTGCAAAGTTATAGACTTCCCAAGCTTCAGCGTTTCTGTTTGGATTTTTTCCCCATGATAATTCATCCTCCCAGCCAGGAGTAAACATCTTGCACCCACCCTGATATAATGAACTTCTCCAGGGTTTCCAAAGCCAGACAGCTCTGAAGTTCAGTCTTGCCACATCTACTCACCTTCCCAGGGGACTTGATAAGTGGTCCCCACTGGAAGAGGAGTCCAATCATTGCTGACTAATGATGGCGGCTGCAGTCGGTGATTCTTCTCCACCAAGGTATTCACTGTCCTCCATTGGGTCCTCCCTACACCCATCTTAAGAGCTTTGTCTTTTTCTGAGTATGGTGGGCAAAAAAAAAAAAAAAAAAACCTCCAAAAACGTCTCCATCCTAGGTCCTGTGAACATGTGACCTTACCTAGCAAAGGAACCAACTCTGCCAACAGCTCGGTCTGCAGCCTCCTAACCTGCGAGACAACACACCCAGTTTGTGGGACTCCATTAAGGTGGTAAACAAATGCAGTTGCCTTGGTAACTTAACATGATGGTAAACACGTACGTGGCAAGACCAATTTTCTTGGTTTGTTATAGCAGTAAAGAAATGACCCAGGGGTCTGGACCCATCACACTATCCATCATTTCATGTGACAGTCTAGAACTTGCAGAGGATGCTACTAATCCGCTTTCTGTTACTGTGACAAAATGCCTGAGAAAAGCAACTCATGAGGAAAAAGGGTTTATTTCGGCTTGTGGTTGGTTTCAGAGGTTTCAGTTCGTGGTTGGCTGCCTCTGTTGTTTCGGGGCCTGTGGGGAGGCAGAGCATCACGGTGGGGATCATGTGGAGGAGCACAGCCGCTAGCCTCATGACAACCAGGAGGCAAATGAGATGCGAGAGGCCGGGGCCCCCTATTTCCTTCAAGGGCATGTCACCAGTGACCTGATTTCCTTCCTTCTAGTCTCTAAAGACTCCACCACTGCCAATAGCACCACAAGACGTTAACACAGGGGCGTCTGGGGAATGCCTGATGTCCACTGAGCATCATGACCCAGAATGGGACACTCTTAAAAGAAAGACCTGTCCGTTCCTGATCTGCTGCCTGGAACAAAATTTGGGTGAGTGGGAACATTGTCTAAAACATCTATTTTTGCGGTCCTCCCCATTCTGGTTTTTGGAAAGGACAAACACGGGTAAAAACGGTCAGTGAAGGCTACTTGCACACAGGATCCACATCAGAAGCGTGATGAGCGCTTGTCAGTTTTGAGAACACCTGCAGGTTAACCCCCCAGGGGGCGCTGATAGGCGTCTGCTTGGAACCCTCTGTTGGCTTTGCCTGGTAGGTTCCCTGAAAGAATTTTCTGGAATCTTTCTCATTCCCTGTCCACAAGGAAGACCAATGTGACTATTCTTATTAAGTCCTGAGTGTTTCTACTCAAGTTTTCAAAAGTGGTCTCACTCGATCGTCTATCGACTTCGAAAAATGATGATTTTCTTGGTCTATCCCCTTTTGAGCCAAACTTTTAAAAAATTGGCAATACGGTCATGTCGCTCGAAGTTAGAAAGCAGAAATCCAACGTCCGACATTTTTAGAGACGTGACTGACATGTCGTGGATGTTGGGGTTCAGTTTTGCTGTTCTAAATGCGGTAAAGATCATGACTTGGTGCCGTGATTGAGATTTAAGATCCTGTCCGCAGTTGTCAAGGAGGACCGTGTGAAACTGCAGAAGGTTCTATGAGATTCTAAGAGTCTGGGCTAAGGGGCAACTCTAACTCGGGAGCCGGCGATAGAGGTAGGAGGCCCTGGCTTTGCACCCTCTGGGCTCCCCGGCTCCGTTCCCGGCCGATGCCCCGGGCCTGTCTCTCTGCCAGGCTTAATTGGTTGGAGTGGATTGAAACGGATTAGGAATAAAGGTCTGTTCTGCTTGAAGAAAAGCCAGATTTTCTTTGATCAGACTTTCAACTAGTATTAAAATTAATTTAA